TAAAACACCAAAGGAAAGAGGTTATATAATAAACATGTGAATTAAAGTACATTGGTTATTTAAGGATTTAACAGGAAAATAAAAAGTTAGAAGAAAGCCACAATAATAACGTAGATAGTAACAAAATGTATCACTAACCCTAAAATAACAAAGTACATTTCATGTTAACCGACCAAATTTAAGCCTTATATGAACTTCAAAAGTGTAAACCCATGTACACCAACATATAGCCCTGCGAAAGTGGAAGATATATTTAACTATTAACAATTTAGAGTTTTAAGAACATATATGAAAATAAAGGTCGAGGTCTTGATAAAAGTATTGATGTCGTATGTACATAACAAACGCATCTTACCTTATTAATGTAGAAACCTAACTACATGACACTTCATTGCTGCAAAATTGTAATTAAAATAGGATGTTATTATATTTAAATAACTCCAAAGTAGGATGTTATTATACATAAAAATCTACATGCCACTTAACAATCCAAAACATAAACACACTTCCATTTCATGAAAGTAGAATGCCATTTCATGAGAAAGAATTATATCTTTAGTTTTAACGAAACAATTTTAATATAACATTTGCATCAAAGTCGCAGGGAAATGGGCAACAATTCATGAAAAATATTTAGTAAATTTTTTTTTAAAAGTACAATGCAATTAAAATTGTCATTTAAAAAAAATACCTAAAAAAAACCTAGCATCACACCTGACCTACTAACAATAGACATCAAAAGACCAAAATTTTCTTTTAAAAGCACACCACTATAAACTTGTTGTGTCATTTTTTTTTCAAATATAACTTGCATTAGACTTATACTTAACTTGGTAATAATGGTCATTAAAAATTTACAAAATCTTTTCTTTAAAGTACATTGCTATTAAAACTACCATTTCATGTTACACAGCTGACAAATTAATATAATTTAGATGAACTTAGTTAAATAAGGAAATAACATCATTGCACACATCTAAATATCAACGCACTTTAAAGGTACAATGCTATAATTAGGAATCTGCTATCCGACAATGCAAAAAACAATAACAAAACATAGAACTACATTGTTGTAAATGGGAAACACAACCCCCACGTGGAATGATAGTCATTTTAACAAAATTCTAGAAATCAAATAGTACTACGATACTTTATATGGAAAAACTGGCCCTGTTTGGTCATGCTATTATTTTTTGTCAAATCAAATGAACGTACATTGTTGTAAATGACAAAACAACCCCTATATGTTAATTTTTATTTTTTTATTCAAATAAATGAAAATACATTTTTATAAATTGAAGAAAAATCCACATATAATCATTTTATTGTTTTTTATGAAACCAAACCAAAACGCTACAAATGAGAAAACAACTTTAATGATAATTTTAATAAAATTTTACAAAATTAAATGAAAATACGGCAAAAATGCCCTTTTATAGGCTATTTAAATAAAAGCTTACAAATCAAATAAAAGTATATTTTTATTTGTGGCAAAATAGCGTATATTTTGTCGTTTTAATGATTTTAAGCAAATCAAATTGAATTATATTGCTATGCAGTCATTTGAATGATTTACCCGATATTGCTACACGTCACATGAAATTTTTATTAAAATATTGCAACATACTTTCAAAATACATTGTTATTATAAAGTAAACAGAAAGAAAAATTAAAATAGGATGGCATAATAAACAAATCAATCAAAATATAGAAACCTATAGTTAACTATCTTGAAAAGTTCACCATCAGTAGAAAAATCAAAGTTGTCGGCAATAAAAAGACAAAATCAAGGACTTTAAAGTCATTATGCTTATATAAAACTTAACACCAAAATTAGTATAAAAAATAATATCAAAACAAAAAAAGGAAAATAAAGTATTAGTAGAGATTTTGAGCAACAAAGAATTCCCACATTTAAGCATAATTCTTGTAGAACCTTTTATAATTAGTAACCAACTAACCAATATCAACAACACCTTTTAAATTGTATGAGCAAACCATAATTACCTACATTTCTATTCAACTGAATGAAACCAAATGAAGATAGCAGCAAATGTAAGTTATTACACTTTTGTTTTCTAAAGCAACTGGAGTCCGTTTTTTATATCCCTCTATATCAAAACAAAGTTCTTAAAAAATAAGGAAAGAACGTGAAAAAGAAGAAAGCAGCTCACATATTCCCATTCCACTCTACTCAATGTGAAATTAGAAGACATGAAACATCTACCGGCAAGGAAGCATCAATTAGTATAATGTTAACAATCATCCAAGGGTTTAATTATATGAAGAATGAAAAATGTAGCGTAAAGAAAGAAAAAAAGAAATAGAACTTTAAAACTAAAGGATCGTAGCATTTTTATAAGGAAAGAAGTCAACAAAGGTTAGAATCAAGACCCTATAACAGCAACGATTTAAGGGGAGAAAGATAGTACCCGAATTAGGTAATGTAGTAGAATAAAGCGACTTGGTTAAATGGGGTAATCTTCTTCCGATTCGTGTGGCGAAGTAGTGGATTGCAGAAGAAGAAGAAGAAGATGAAAAATTTGTGGGGGGGTTTTCTTTGGTTTAAGAACTCTAATTTGTTGCAAGTGAGATCGTAATCCAATATACAGTGCGGTATATGTATATATTCTCAATACGTGATGCATGAATTGGATTCAAATTTGAATTAGATTTCAAACGTGATTTATGGATATTATGTTGAAGAAGAATCCCTAATTTTTTGGAATTGATTGACCATATAATTAAATATTGAAATTGATTGGAGATATTAAAGAGTATAGTGAATGGGTGGGAAATAATTGAGAGAATTATTGGAGAGAGTACCATGTGGCAGAATGCTAGTCTAAATGATGGACACGTGGCGTTTAGGAGAGGCTATTATTAAGAATGAAGATATATATATTACTTTACGAAACGATGATTAATATTTTAATTAATGACCGAAATAGTCAACTAAGTAATTTATAAACTAAATAATAATAACTTTAAAAATAACACTAAATAAACTCAATATATAATTTATTTCTTCCATCTTGGGCACCAAAAGTGAACACGAATACTGTGTTTGTGTTTTTTTCTTTGTTCTTGGCTAAACAATTAGAGAGAGAAATAATGCTTAGAGGCTTCAGCCCTTTTCGTTGATATTTACCATCTTAATCAAAATTCCAAACATAATAATTAAATATTGATTAGCTTTTAAATAAGTATATATTCTAAATAAATAAAAATTTTTTTTGTCATATGTCACACTCTCATTCAATTTATCAAATGTCATTGTGGTTATTTTAAATTAATTTTTTTTCTATATATCATTTTATGAGTTTTTTCTATTTTAATAAATTCCACATGCATAATACTTTAATGTAATAATTATAATAAATGTAGTTATAAATGAATATCAATTTTATTAATGAACTTACATTCTTATTTCAATATTTCCAAATTAAAGCTTACTACTTTATTTTGTTTATTTAATTATATTTAAGAGATAAAAAAACCAATTTTAATAATTTTTTTTTTATTTTCTTATAAATCCAAAGTTACTAGATATTTAGATCTTTATATTTAATTTTTTTAATTAACCCATGTAATATATAAATCTTACACCTAGGTAGCTAATATACGGCAATCACATGAAACATGCATCATTGTGGAATTTCATTAGACACCTTGCTTTCAGTTAGTTAGTTGATGGTTCTCCTAAGTTTGCACTTGAAAATAAAAAACCAAATATGTGTAATTCAAGTTGTATAGTTGTAAAAGTTCTATTGGTTTTTTGGTTTAGCAACAAATAAGATTCTATCGAACAATTGCTCAATGTTAATCTAATTTTTTTATAGTTAATAAATAGTCCACTTGGGTGTTGCTTGTTAGTTTCAGCATCGGAAGTCAAGAAGTAAGGGAAGGGTTAGAGATGAAGGAGGGAGATGGTTTTGACTCGTTTTTTCGATGCTCCCAGCTTCACCGACTACCCAAATCTCAACTCTATCTCTATGAACTTTTGAAGAAACTTGATCGAGTTTAATGGCAGTTTGAAACCATTTGGGCTTTCTATTCAGGTTATTGATCTGTCTCACAATCATATTTCATAGGGGAAGCCACATGTTTTACAACAGATAATAGTAATTGTGGTTGGAAACCTCACTCGGAACTAAATGTGTTTATAGCGGTTTGAAACCTCACTCGGCTTAAGGTGGTCGATGAGATACCATCCTTTTCCATTCATTTGATGCTTGCTTGTTAGAAGCTCTAATCGAAGTACATCGAAGTTGTGGTCATGTAGATTTTCTAAGGAGATAAATGGGGATGAGAACATACATAATGTATTGAACTCTATAGAGTTTAATGGATTACCACATCATATTTGTACATTTAATACAACTCCATTAATTTATTCCTACAATACATTAAACTCTAAAGAGTTTAATAGAAAGTTACAAAAGCTAATTTATAGTATGTATTTAAGATTAAAAAACTTTTTTTTTCCATTGAAGAGTTTAATAACTATTGAACTCTAAATTCATTGAGTGACAATATGACATCTCACTATGGTGGAGTTTCATCTATTGAATGACAACTAAACTTGTCACCTCATTCAACCATCCCATTGAACTCACAATTATAGATGCTTTGAAGATGACAAAGAAAGGTTATGGACGGTTTAAAAAAGGGAAATGTTTAATTGGGGGTGGGGTCTATTTTATGTTTTAATTAAAATTAAAATTAGTTAAAAGTATAGCATATAAAATAAAATTTAAAATTAATTAAAAGGGTAAAAAGTATATTTTGCACGAGTCAATAACTAACCATGCAATAAATTGAAACCACGAACATTGTTCAAGTTAAAGACCGAACTTATGAATTTTTATAAAGTACAAGGACTATTTATGTATTTTTTTCATATATAAATATGTAACGTAAATGGCAATTATATGCATGTAATTCTTTCTCCTACTCTTACCTTGTTTCTTTCAAGTTCAACGTCCATAGAGTAAATCATGAAAGAACTCATTGGTATACTTCGTGTCTTCGACGACGGCCGATACGAGAGAATTGAAGTTCACACTATTGTTCCCGCCGGCATCGATCCTTCCACCGGCGTGAATTCTAAAGACGCCGTGTATTCACCGGAAACCAACAAATCCGCTAGACTTTTCCTTCCAAAAACCGCAACCCCCAACCATAAACTCCCGCTTTTAATCTTCTATCACGGCGGAGGATTCGTTGATGAATCTCCTTTCGACACGACTTACCATGACTTCCTGAACCTCGTCGTCTCAGATTCCAACGTCATCGCCGTCTCCGTCGACTACAGACTCGCGCCAGAGTTTCCTGTCCCGATCGCCCACGAAGACTGCTGGGAAGCGATCAAGTGGGTGGCGCAGCATGCTAATGGGAAGGGTCCGGAGCCATGGTTGAACGAATACGCAGATCTTCAAAACATCTTTCTCGCCGGCGACAGTGCTGGAGGTAACCTAACCCACAACATGGCCGTTCGTATCGGGTTGGATACCCCTGCCGGTTTACTGTTCCGGGGTGCTATCTTGCTCCACCCGTATTTCTGGGGAACAGAACGGGTGGGTACCGAAGCCGACTGGATGTCACCCGAATTAATCGATAGTTTGAATGAATTAATGACTCTGGCTTACCCAGGAAGATCCGGGATGGATGACCCGCTGATCAACCCAGCTATGGAGCCAAACATAGCGGGTATTCTTTGCTCCAAGATACTGCTTTGCATCAGTGGAAATGATTTTATGAGGGATAGAACAAGAAACTATAAAATGCTGATTGAAAATTGTGGGTGGAAAGGAAATGTAGAAGTCGTGGAGGACAACGAGGAGAGCCATGTTTTTTTCTTGAAGAAGCCTACCTCTAAAAATGCTGTTACTTTGCGCAATCGAATCTCCGCATTTATCAACAGCTAGCGCTTGAAGAAGTATACTATGTCAGGGTGATCTTAAAAATAAAATAAAAAAACTGATTACACATGCAAATAAATACACACGTATGTACGCTGTATGATGCAGTTCTTAGCATTACCCTCTGTTTAACTATAGACAGTACACGTTCCTTAATTTATTAAATAAACTATTTTCATATTCATATCTATCAAATAAAAAAGAATTGTGTTTTATTACTTTTGTTATTTTTAATTTAATGTATCGTTGTTGTTATTATATTATTTTTGACATTATTTTGCTATTATTATTACTTAACTTATTATTATCAATGTCAATTATTATTAACTATATATATATATATATATATATATATATATATATATATATATATATATATATATATACTACCTTATAAAAGAAATCTAATTATTTCTATAAATAGATTGAATAAAATAATAATATTTTTTAAGACGTTCAAATCATTAAGCTATTAGTACAAGTGATCATCTATAAAATAATAATATTTTTTAAGTAGTACAAAACATGAAAAAGGAAGTACAATTAACGAATGCATTAGGTTTTGACCCAGTTCCTTAGTCCAAACGATGAGTCGTAAAAAAAGCTAAGATCCGGGAAAAAATCTTTTCAGTTCATGCCCCCTTCCCCTATATCCGTTCTTCTTCTCCTAAAAAACCCTAAGACCACTCACTACTCATGACCACCGGATCCATCAGTTACGTCGGGCACACCACCACTGTTTCTCTTTCTTCCACCAACAAACAAACCCTAATGGAAATCTTCAGCATAATTGATGTCGCCTCCCCCAACCTTCGTCTTCTTAAGATTAAGAGGTACAAGTTGGATAACACAAATGAATTCCATGTTTTTCTTCTAACCCTAGATACAAAAGCCTAAAATTATCAGCTTTGCCTCATTTGAAGCTCTACACAGCCTTACTTTCTCTCTTGAAACCCTATAACCAAAAAACGCGGTAGTGTCCACCTTTTAGGTCTGCATCTTTTTTCGATGTCATCACCATTACCTCCAATAGTCATTGTTCGATTCAACTTCCTTCACTAGAACCATCCTTGATGTCGTCGTTCATCACCACACACTACCCTACTCCTCCGTGACCACCATCAATGTTACACTGTCGCCACTCCTACAATGTCGTCACCAACATCCATGGAAGACAGGTCAACATTCACAACCATCGAGCAGCCACCACCTGTTCCCTTCTCCCTGGTACTTTACCTTATGGAAATTAAAGTTTACACTTAGTTTTCTCTCTTATTTGTCTCTTAATCGTTGATTTAAGGTTTTGGCTGTGGGCTCTTCAACCTTCTCCGTGTTTATCTCTGAACAGAAACGTCTGGTGGATGTGATAGATATATGAGAGTTGTCTTTTCTAGCATCCAATCTCACTGTCTATAAAGCTACTGAATTTACTCTGGAACAGGCTACATCGGTGGTTAAGTAGCAGCAACTTCAGATGATTCCACCACTGGTTTAAGCTCCTTATTCGAGTAGATTAAGCAAACCAAAGCAACGCTAACCTCTAAGCAGGATTTATGGCATTTGACTTAATTTGTCATCCCTTCATGTTGGGTATGTCGATTATTGATCACTAAGTTGGTGTTTTATTTTTTGCCACCAAGTGTTTGATTAAATTCCCCTGAGAGCACTTATAGCAAAACTGTTGGGATGTTTATGCCATTAAAGGCTTCTTTTCTTGTAGTAATCTTATCCCTAACAGAGTACTGAGATGCCAGATTACAAGTTATTCTTGTCGAAGCATGACATTTCATCAATCAGCTAACAACGCATTGGAAGTAGTGCCTGTATATGAGCAAACGAGCTTCTGCAGCAAAGCTCTTCTTTTATGATCTTCATGGCATCAAAGATACAAAAGTGCAAGTTATGGCTGATGCAAGGTGACACAAATTAAATTTAATATTTCCCTCAAAATGCAGATTACTTTTGTTTTTGTCGTTTTATTTAACTATAAAATCTTATCTTTGTTTTTGAAGGAGATCTAATTTGGATGAAGCTGAATTTTCCAAGTTTCATTCCGGTGTGAAATGTGGAGATGTAGTTGGTATTGTTGGGTTTCCAGGTGTGCAAATTTTGTTTCCTTTTGAAATTTTGAATTTTCTTTTCTTCTAATTTTTTTTTATAACAAGAAAAAGCAACATGGGAGAGCTGAGTATTTTCCCAAAGACATTCAACGTCTTAACTTTTTGTCTTCATATGATGCCAAGGCAAAAAGGCAATGTGAAGGTAAAATTTTTTAATATTAATGTATTTACGAATTTACCCCTGTTTAGTAATATGTAATTGTTACAGAAAACTCATGCTTGGACTCCAGGAAGTGGCAGAAATCCTGAAGCATATGTATTAAAAGATGAGGTATATATTCAATATCAATATTCAATACCATTGCATGATGGGTAAAGACATTTAAAAAATAAGTTAATACAAGGGGTTTTATTTGGAAATGGATGTTTTTATATGGAAATGGATGTTCGTATAACTTAAGGACCAAGACCCTTGACATAATTAATTGGAAACTGATGTTTTTATTTTAATTTTATTACATTATATTTTCTTATTTCTTTTCAAGATAATGTAAAAATACCACACCAATAGGTCTTACAAGATATTTCGTATTTGTTGCTCTCATTATTATTTTTGACTATTTGTTACTATGTTCATTTGGTCTATTTCTATTATTTAAAAAAAAAAAATCAAAGTGATTACTAAGTTATACAAATATGATCATTGTTAGTAAAAATCATTTTTTGGTAACCATAATAATACCTTTGGCCTAAGATATTGTTCCTGTAAATATATATATCAAAACTAATACAAAAGTTGGATTATATTCTCTTGGATATGTATTTCTTTTTTTGGAACATAAATTTTTTGTTAAAAAAAACATATTGCCGAAAAAAACTGTTCGTCACCGCCGCTTTGCGCGGGTAGACGGCTAGTATATATATATATATATATATATATATATATATATATATATATATATATATTTTGAATGGCGAACAACCCCTCTAATCTACTTCTAATTCTATATTTTTGTCTTGTTGAACACTCACTGAATCCCCGCTTATTGATTAGGGTGAGTCACTCGTCCCTCTTTTACGTTTACGAAAATACAGGAATTTATGTTTTTTCCGAAAACTAAACTAAGTATTTGAGAAGAGACTCCTTTCATATAACTTTTTGTCCCGTTGAACACTTACTCAATCCTATTTAAGAAGAGATACATTTCATATAACTCTTGATACTGTTAAACTAATGGGTTATCAGGGAGCGGACGTAGGATTTCACAGTAGGAATTGCACGGGAAGATTAAAGGTTTCATGGTAGTAAAAAAAAAAATTCAAAAAATTTCAAAATTTTTTCCACTGCAGCCATAAAAATCAGGGGCTGCCGGTGCCACCAAGGGCCCCCCCGGTCCGCCCCTGCAGCTGATCATTTGGTTTTTAACTATATTATTATTATTATTATTATTATTATTTTCTTATAATCTTGTTTCAATTAATTGAAGTCTGGATTCCATTAATACTTTATTTCAAAATATAAATTAGAAAGAGGACTAATATTTAATTATTTATTAAGTTGTAAAGTCCAAAATTCTCATTTCATGTTTTCATTTTTGTAATCATTTTCGTTTGTTTTAATCAATGTTAGGTAAAACTAGTTTTCTTAGGGTTCTTATTATGTCAGAGGTTTTCAGCAAAAACAGTCTTTTTTGACATCTTATGTTAGTGTTGTCGACCATTCTATATCCGCCTTATCTAATTCATATGGGAATAGTAGTTCTATAGGGTGGTTGGTATGCATGAGGAATGGAGAGAACGAGGTTGACCAGAGATGGCTCGGGATGAGCTCGATGTGAAAGAAATATGGTCTCTAAGGAGAAAAGAGGGTAATGCTCGTGATGGATGTGTTGATTCAGACACGGAAAAAAAAATAAGAAAATATAAATGAGGGAGGGAAGAGCCGGATGGATGAGTCGAGAGAAGTGCCACGTGTACTCTCCACCCTAAAGAAACCAAATACACAAACTAACCAAAATTTCGTAATTTTATAAAGAAACCAAAATGAGAAATAGAAACTAATTGCACAAACAAAATAGTAGGAGGTAAAATATATTTTTTTTTAAAGGGGTATTCACAAAATATAAATTTTTTCTAATTCCAATAAACAATTTAGTTAAGAATTGATCAGATGACCTCCAACTTTGCATATGAAATTCGAGATGTATTCATAAACGCTTGGAATGAAATGGACCTTAATTATCAAACATGCCTAATCCTTCTTGAAAAATGTAAAGGCGGTTAAAGAGGCAAAAAAGAAATGGACAAAGGAAAATAAAGAGATTGAGCTTGAAGAAGTTAATGAATTGAAGAAAAATGTGGAACACTTAGATCTTATGGTTCGATCACTTTCTTATCCACTCTCGAACATGAAAATTGCAAATAGTGTGTGGGATATAGAGTTTCATCTTTGATATTTTTGCTATGCAGGCCAACATTAACCATTTACTCATGTCGAAATCAAACAAGCAATTTGGAGTTGTATGAGCAAAAAAGCACCACATTATGATGGGTTTACTTTTAAGTTAATCAAAGAATTGAGATATTATTTTTACAATGACCATTAAAAATTCAATTCCACGAGTAGCATTTCGAGGGGATGCAACTTATCTTTTGTTTCACTTATACGTAAAATCCGTCTCCCCTTCTCATTTTCGCATTTTAGACTCATTACTTTAACAAGGTACTTCACTAATGTTCAAGAAAAATTCTTTACATCCACCTAAAAAAATGTCCTTTACGACATCATAATGATTGCATGTGAAGACAAAACTGTGGTCTCGGTGCCAACGAACCACAACCACAAACACCATCTCGGGTGTTTGTTGTGGCTCGTGGTCGTCGTCGTCGATTGTAGTATACATGATGAATCACTATAGCCAATCATAAATATTTTGATTTTTGACT